TTCACAAACGCGATGGCTCGACCGGCATCCTCCGCTTCTCGACGCGCCTTCTTTCCTTTTCGCGGGGACGCCATGTGCACTCGGCAGCCAGACTTGAAAAGTTATGTTTCGAGTTTAATGCTATTTTTGACTACCCCGATTTGCAATTGGAAAGTCTGACCCCCTCTTCAAGATGATATATTAATCGCAGTCGAGTTTGTTACGATATAGACATCTACAGTCCAAATACTTTGATACTATTGGGGGAATGACCAGTAGGGTTGTGACAAAATCTGTAAAAACATGTTACGTCGCAGGTTTTAAAATCGCAGGACGCGATTAAGCATATATATATAGCCAGACAATAGCTCCAGCTCTCCTGAAAATAGGACTTGAAACGAATATAATTTGATGACGCAACGTCAAAAAGCGTCCTCGATGCTGTCGACCACTGTAAAGTAGTACAACTGATGCGAACAACTCAAATTTAGCGCGAAGTTGAAGTAGTGGAAAAGATACGGGCTGTGTTTCCCCCCCCCCCAGGGTTCACATCAACAATTCCACCAATAAGGTATTTGTACTCATAGTGGCATGTCGTGAGATTGGTGGAGCCACACATTCAAGAGTTGTGATTGGAGGAACCGTGGCTTCCACAGCGTGCTCACGGGGCGAGCGAATATGGCGGCAAAATCTCGCCGTGCGGAGCGCGGCAAACGAAGGCTCATTTCCAAATTCGACGAAAGCCGCACAAGTTTAGCAGCTCAATGACCGCCACTGTCTTCTTCGACCACTAGTGCTGCCTCCCACTCCCGTACAGTTAACCCAGAAACAATCGGCAAGGCACTGATTCGCTTTGGCTAGGCGGAGCCTTGCTTGCCACATATGGATATTCATCGACAGACCCGAGCTACTCAAGAACCTGTTCGGTGGTACGCTCATCTGCGGCTTAAATTCAGGAGATGCGGAAGGGCTTGGTCATGGCAGGTTTACCTGAGATCACGACCGAAGAGCTGATCACCATCCTGTGGAACGCCGAATGCGTACTCTGCTCCCTGGCTCTCCTTATCGCCTCGGATATCGTCATCGGTTGCCCAGCCTTCAAACGCCTTAATGGCTCGGTGCACGTCGGACGCGAACACAGTTTCATAAGCTAGATGTACTACTACATGGCGCAAGTGACCACAACCCGTATTTAAACGGCAGACGTACCTCGTCCAGGGTCGAATCGTTGCAATAACATAGCTACGCTGGACGGAAATGAAGCCGTCACCGCGGAGCTACTTAAAAAAATGACGGATCATGGGTACAGGGTTTTCCGTACACGTACTAAGCTCTACGAGAACCGTCAGACTTCGTACATATACGCTGCCCTGACGGCAGAAGTGCAGGAGGAGTGGGCAAGTTCGTGCTCTCGCCATGCCACCACAGCGCTGCCGAAAGGCGCTCCGCGCGTTATACAAGTGCTCCTCATTTTCGCTAAGGTGAAGAAAGGCCTTCTCAGGATCAAGCACGTCTACGACCACCAAAGGATTTCAGATCCGCTTTCGAACCGACGAAGGTCAGCAAAACAGATGTACTGGAGGTCCCGTGGCACGTCAGAGTTGTACGCAACCACCACTGCAAAGCGGCAAAAGCGTCAGACTACTGGTGTGCTTATTTAATGCAGTTGATGAAGAACCGCTGAAGGAGCCGCAGTACGCTAGCATAGACGGCTACAAAGCTGCTGAACGACTTGCTGCCTACCACATACGAGTCCAGCTACCATCGTAGCTACTGAGAATCGCTGCGAACTCGCTACGGTGAAGTTTATTAAAGATAGCGTAGAAGACCAATCCAGTTGACGGTTTCGTGCGAGGCTAAGGTGCTGGTAGGCATAACTGGAAGTAATCTCACGCAATAAATCATTCTTTTGATTTGATCGTTTCATTATCGACAGTGGAGACAACCACGTTACTTCTTCTCGCGCAGCTTGCGGTAAATTACCTCGGAGGGGCTCACACCTTGGCTTTCGCGCCGATAGAATCTTACAGGAGGTAGCGTGTCAGGCTCCATGAAAACAGGTTTCTTTTTGCGCCACTTTGATGACCGGTAGTACATGCACTTGTTGCATTGGCTCTGCTGCCATTGAAGCTTGTTAGCTTGCTTCGCCATTACATAGATGACGTTCATGGTCATACTCAGATACTCAAAAATAGTGTAGCCACGCTTTTTGTGAAACTCATCCTTCTTGTGAAGGTAAATTGACTCTTTATCAGCAGATTCGTCCGCCTTCATGTCGTTGTAGCATTTGAAGTGCTCATCGAGCTTGGTCCGCGTATACTGAAGGTAGACTTTCAAGAAATCTAGGCGATCGTGAAGGTGATTGCGAGTAATCTATACATATCGATAACAAATCAGCCACTGTATTCAACTGACACAGATCTCAAACTCAGAGTCGTACATCCGAAATTTCCATGGAGGATCGAAGCCATCTCAACTTCATGATGTATTCGTGAAGAAGGTGATGATTGCCGGCATAAAGCCCTGTATAAACACTGTACATTTGTTTCACTGGGAGGGCCCCAACGAAATCATCAATTCCGGCATAAGAGCCAAAGCTGTGCTCACGCTCCTTAACAACGAAACGCGTCAGCGTAGACACTAGTATCGGATAATAAACGTACTCAGCGTACAAGGTTATCAAGCGAATAGAAAACGGGATATAAATTGTCGAATTCGATAGGCTTGCGAGTGCCGACAGTGAAGTACGCAAGGGCCTGGCTTACACAAGAATCAATAGCTTAGAGCTTTAAAAACGAGGGTATAATACGCGCACCATGTTGAGATTGACGTCAGAGCCCTCATTTCGGCACAGCATCTCCTTTGGGCTTGGTGGCTGATTAAACACGCTATACACTGGCACGTGTGAGATTGAACGACAGACCGGGTCGTCAGACTCGACACGAGTCATCTTCACGGGAGACTGCATGATCTAGACTGAACGGAAACTAAGCACATGCAAGTTGGGTGGCACTAGAAGATCGCTTCACAGCTTCCTTATACATTTTTTGAGTAAAATACACAAATTAAAATCTGAAGTAAGGGTACGTGCATCTGCGCTTGTCGACGCAATACGACTTGAAAATGAAACTAGAGCGAGTTTAGCCTTCTCGTTAAGAGTTTCGCATTGAGAAACAATTATAGAGCTGTTGCCACTAGTCATGGCAACGCAGCGAGCTCGGTAGAGCCGATTGGCTCTACAAGCGCCCAGAAGTTTGTGCTGCACATCTAGTACTGAATTCGCTGACACCTAGGCAGGGAAAGGATACGTAGACCCCGGAGTTGGTTCTTGACAAGTAGGTCAAGTACGTTTCAATGATGTCGGCGATCATAAGCGGTATTTTTGTGCCACGCGAGTGTGCCTTGCACTGCATAACATGCAGATCTCATCCGGTGGAAGAATGAACTCTGTGACCGCCTCTTCACCGGCATACTCCGCTGTCCTACCGGCGGGGGTTGGTTCTCAAGCCCACGTAGCGATAATGCATTCTTTCCGGCTTCATGTAGACAAAGCCACAGCCCTATGTAGACCGGAGAATGTCCTCGATGCGGGAGGCCGTTTCGGGCCTGGCCGTTAGTAGATAGATCCACATGGCTTATATTACACTCTTGAGCATGGTCAGCACACCGTCGATCGTCGATGCGGGCTTGCACTTGGCATCGATCCTGCCCAAATGTTGTAGTGGAGTTGCGTCTGCGGATGTAGCGGTACGCCGCCCAGGTTGTCCAACTCCGGTGGCTGTGCAATTGATGCACAGTTTGTGTACGCCACACGGATCAAGAGGTCATGTAGGCCACGGTACTCTCCTTATTGACTTTATTTCGTAAGCGAAAATTGGCTGAGATGGCTTCCAGCCAATCGCTATCCAGAAAAAAGACAGTGCAAAATGATACTTGGGGTACTCTTCTGCTCCGGTTTTGCACGAAACCTCTACAACTGCATATTATTTGGACAAAAACCTCGCACATTTTGTGCTGTAGAAAGGTACTTGAAGTATCCTTTTAGGCCGTTGTACCTGAAGTTTGTATGGTGTCTCTTCAAAAAGAAATGTATGGCGTTAACGATAGGGTTAAAACGCTTCAATTTTGTGTTTTTAAACTTAATTTAACAACTGTTGTTAAATTGAGTTTAAAAACACAAAATTATTACTGGGGGGAAATAAATGGCTCGAAACTAATAATTAAATTGATAATCCTAGTGTATTTATAATTTTGATCAGCCCTGGTTTTTAAGCTAGGATTAACATTATACTAGGAGGACAGCTTTAGCTGGCTGGGCAGCCTAAACAAATTTACTACATAATTTTGTGCTTTTAAACTCAATTTAACAACTGCTGTTAAATTGAGTTTAAAAACACAAAATTATTACTGGGGGGAAATAAATGGCTCGAAACTAATAATTAAATTGATAATCCTAGTGTATTTATAATTTTGATCAGCCCTGGTTTTTAAGCTAGGATTAACATTATACTAGGAGGACAGCTTTAGCTGGCTGGACAGCCTAAACAAATTTACTACATTGGCGGTGCCCCCCCCCCCGCCCCCGGTTTTAATTGCGCGATTGTTACCTGAGTCGATAGTCCACATACAGACCCTAGGGGTACAGACTATTTACGTACGCTCTGTGATAAGTGTTGCGTGAATATTGCTAGCTAGGACCCCATCCCTAGTGAAAGCGTACCATTTTCAGAGCACTTATTTTTGCAATTTGGGTAAAATAAAGCTTAAAGAAAAAAAAATCTTCTTTTTTATAGAGATAATATCCATTTGACTCCAAAGCCTGGGTTGGATGTATCCTTCCGACTCGTTAAATTACGAAACGGTGAAGTTTCAGGTGACAGCATTTAATTGCTTGGTATGCTACCCACTCGTCAATGTATTAAAAAAAAATCAGAGCCACGATCTAAGACAATGACAATGCTAGCTATTTCCCTAGATAGCTTGGCTAGCCCAGATTCAAGCACGTAAAATCACTGCATGTTTCACTCTAGTTTACTGTCCATTCGTGTTAAGTGAGCAGCCACAGCATCGGCCTGTAATGAGGCGACAGCGAAGCTATTATCCCGCTTCAAAAGCCTCCGAGAGCCTTTTTCGTTCTTCAGCCACTTGGAGGCCAAAGCTTCACGCATCGTAAACCGTAAGCTCGCGTTCAAATTCAGAAGCCCCTCCGCAAACTCCAGAAGCTCATCTGACAGCTTACAGATCGCCGACTGCTCCAGATACATGACCTTCAAGTAGGAACGCAGTCCCACACGACAGAACATCTGAAACCCGTTGTCATCCAATCGCGCAGCATCAAACAACGGCTTCTTGGTAAGTAGCAAGATGAAAATAATCCCCACCGACCAGACATCGGCTTTCTGAAGATCTAGACGTTCTCCTGGCTTGAACGCTTCGACCTCTGGTGCGATATACGTTTTCAGAGGAGGTGGAGGTAGCTTCGATAGCGGCTGGAGTTGGTTATCTGACCCCACAAACACGGAATGTTCAAAGTCCCCAATTTTTAGAATATTGTCACTAGTCACAAAGATATTTTCAAGCCCAAGATTGCCATGTGCAATGCCCTGTTCGTGTAGAAACTGAAGTCCGGAACAGATCTGGAACATCGCGTCACATACTTCCGATTCGGAAGGGGAAAACGTAAGACGTAGACCTTCTTGTGGACTCTCAATGTAAGCATTCATAAGCGAGCCAAGTTCACAAAACTCAATAATCTCGTGGAGTCGATCTCCAGCGGGATAATAGCCAAGCAAGCGCACGATATTCCTGTGAACTGGCTGTTTGTATGTCTCGCAGAAGTTATAGAGGTAGCACATGATCTCCAGCTCATTCTGCGCCAACGTTCGGGTGTCACAATGCACTTGTAGTCGCGTGTTCTTGTCCACAAACAGGCCTTTACGTCGCTTCCGAAGCAGTTTGTGGTCACTCACGACGTCCACGCGTCTGGCAGGGTCCACTTTATCACAGAGATTCCACTCCACGTTCAGAGGACGAGCAGTAGTGAAGAGATGCGGAATGTCGTCAGGTCCAGGAGCCACTAAACTCGTCACACGCACTACGGACTTGTGTCGAGCTGCAGCCATCTGAGGCTCAAGTTTCTCTTGGAAGAGCTGCTTCTTCGAGTCCGAGCGCCATTTCAGCCACGAACGCACTGGCAGCATGTCAGAGAGTCCATCCAGATACTCCAGAACGCAGTCGACAAGAGAACTTAACCGGTTGCCCATAGTCAAGAGAAAAAGAAAAAGAAATATTTAAAACTTCAGAACGTCCGTTGTTTTTAAGGATCAAGAATAGCAAAAAGTACCGAACTTAACATCCATTAAGCATCACTACAAACGCCAAGTCTACTCGATAACAACCTGTTCACTGTCGCTACTGGTCTGGTCAAAGTCGATCTTCTTGGCCACATTCTTCAGCTCCGGGTCCTCGTCCACAACAGACACACAAGTCGCCACCTCTTGGACTTGCACCTCCGTCTCCGTGACGCCTTCCTGCTTTGTCTCCATCTCGTCAACTGTCTCCGTTACGACAGTCGACGCCGTCTCCACTACAGCCGCAACAACCTTCTCTACTACCGAGGCAGACGACACCGTCGACTTGTTCGAGGTACGAGACGCTACACCAGGCGACGACGACGCAGAGGTAGTCGACAATGCGCGTTGCGATGCACGCGTAGGTCGCGTACCCTGTTGGCCTCTCCTCCGCGCCTTCTGCGCTTCCTGTTCGCTCTCCTTGGCCAACTGCGCGAACTCGTGAGCCTCCAAGCCACGACGAACTTCCTCTGCACTCGACAGCATCGACTTCTGCTGTCGGTCGTTGAAAAACGTCCTCAGTTCACGTTGCCGCTGCTCCGACTTGGCCGCGTTCTCCTCTTCCAGACGTTTACGACGCTCGTACTGCTTGCGAGCGCGTTCCGCGTATCCCGACGAGTTCTCGTAGTCCAAGTACCGAGGCAGCGTCGAGTTGAGCTTCTTCCGAGACACAGCCGAGCGGATAAACGGCTCTGGCGGTCCGTCGATAGCTGCGCGAGCCGAGAGCGACGCTCGACGATCCACTACGTCCAATACGCTGCGTACACCAGCAGATCCCAGACTTTTACGCCGTTCCGCAGCGATAAACTCCTCCTTGGTGATCTTGTGGGTCGAGTGGGTCGTTCCGGACTGGATCCCGTCCCGGACTTTGCTCCGGACGTTCTCGTACCGTTTGTTCCGAACTGGAGGTGTCATTTCAACCGCATCACTAGTCTTCCTAGCCTTGAACGAGGCTGTAGATGTCATAAATGATGCACGCTTTGGCGCTACAGGAACAGTAGGCGAAGGCTTGGAAGCAAGGTTCTTCGGAACAGAATCCGAAGACTGATCCGGAACGTTCCTGGCTTGCCAGGAAGCAGTCGGTGCTGTGATGGACGCTCTCTTCATGAGCACAGGGACGGTAGGACGAGGCTTCATGACGCCAGTGTCGCTCTTCTTCGACTGCTGCTTGCCTTCTGCTGCTTTTCTCGCCATGTACGAGGCTGTGGGGGCTGAGATGGACGCTTTCTTCATTGGGATCGGGACTGTGGGAGACGCTACCGTTCCCTTGAGCTTGGAGGCAGAGCCGTGTTTCTTCAACTGCGCCGCCTTGTGATCCTCCGCTTCGGCCGCTTGTCTGGCCTTGTACGACGCAGTAGGAGCCGTGATGGACGCACGTTTCATCGGCACGGGGACTGTAGTTCGGGAGGACGAAGATTTGGCCGAGCCCACGGAGCCTACCGAGACCTTGCGAGTCAATTTTGGAGCCGAGTTTTGCTTCTTCAGCTGCTTCTTGGACGGGGTCGCATCGAATAACTCGTGAGCTGGACGTCTTTTAGTCGGTGACAGCAGCTCGAACTCGTCTTCTCCGTCCGTCATGGGGCGTTCGCCTACTACGACCGTATCTTCCGTCTCAATGGTCTCGTCTTTTTCCATCACAAACGACCGCTCCGTTGTGAGAAGAGCGCGCTTGGACTTGGGTCCTTGACTCGAGTGGACTTGAGGAGGGTCGACATCGTCCCGATCGACGTCGACAAGCGCTTTATCGGCACTTTTTAGCCGACTTTCCTCCACGAATTCTAGAGCGTCGGTAGGCTGTACGTTTAGAGCAGTCGACTCGGTGTTGACAGCAGCAATTTCGTCGCTAGAAGTGACTGCAGACTCGATACGCAGCGTCTCTTGGACGCTAAGATCCAACTCAACCAACTCGCTTATACTTTTCTCTTCAGCAATGTCATCTCGCCCTTGAACCATCTCCGCTTCCTCGACGCTGACCTGCTCGGCGACAGATTCAATCGTTGTCTCAACGGGGTCTTCAGAGGGATCAGCAGCTGTACACGTCTCTTGCTTTGTATCACCAACGTCCTCTTCCTTCTGCACAGTCTCTATAACACCAACCTCGTCCTTTACCTCCTCACTCACCGCAATGTCATCACTGGTAATCGGGACAGTAGCTTCCGTATCCTTGGCAAGCGATTGGTCCTCTGTCACAACAGCATCCTCGCTGGTAACAGCGACATCCAGCTCCGTACTGTTGACATCGTCCACTTGGTGCTCAGAAGACACAGCAGGCGTCTCCTCTACAACAACAGTCGTCTTGTCCATCTCTGTTGTCTCCACTTGACCATCCATCGCTGTCGCACTCTCGTCAGCGTCGACAACATTCGTCACTTGTGGCTCAGCAGCACTAGCCAGCGACGTCTCGATCTCGGTTTCGCTCTCCTTGCTATCGCTCTTCTCTGTAGTCAAAGCCACGACGTGTTTCGTCTTCCGCTCGGCAGCTTTCGCTTCCTCCTGCTGCTTCGTGATGGCCTCGAATTTCGCCTTCTCCGCGCCCACATGAACACTTCGCTGCTCTGGAAAGAACTCGCGGACTGTGCGGAACTTGAGACTGTCGAGCGATTGCTCGCGTTTGCCTTCAAAGCGACTAGCGATACTCTTGACAGGCGTCAGAGCCTCGTCACTGAACTTACTGGCGGAATCGGCCGACGAATAGCCGTCGTCGAAGCTCATTTTCTTGCTACTGGACGCTGCGTCGGGCGTCGTATAGCCGTCCGTCTCGGCAGCTAGCGTCACAGAATCGACAGCTGCAGACTTGCTAGTTAATTTATACTTGGACTTGGCTTCTTCCTCCGCTTTGGCCTTCAGCGCTTGTGCCTCGTACTTCTGCTTCTCGGCGCCCACGCGGATACTGCGCTCCGTCGGGAAGAACTCGCGTACCGTGCGAAACTTTAAGGTGTCGAGAGATTGCTCGCGTTTGCCTTCAAAGCGACTGGCGAGACTCTTGACTGGCGACATCTTCTCTGGCTTAGCGGGTGCTGTAGTGTCAGCAGGAAGCTCAGACGCTGGAGGCGTAATCTTTACGGACAACAAGTCGGCGTGTGCAGTCGACGCGACGTCGTCACGCAGTTCAAGGTCGAGCTCTAGTTGCAATGATGCAGGCTTCGTGGCCTCAGTTACGGTAGTACCGTCCTCCACATCGGTCGTCTTCGGCTCGGTACTCTCCACTGAGACTACTGCGTCGTGGCTTGGTATTTCAGCAGGTTTAATCGTTTCATCGACACTAACTTCCGTCGAACTGTCGACTACTGTGCTCTCCGTGTCCGCCACGGTAGTCTCCATGGCTTCGATCTGCTGCTTGGCAGCTTCAAGTTGCGTTTGTATCTCTGTATTCGACCTCGAGCTTGCCGGTGGAGTACGTCGAGCAGCGATTTCGGGGTCTTCCGCCTTCCTCTGCTTCTCCAGGGCGTCGTATTTGTCCTTCTCGGTACTCACATGGACACTCTGCTCGCCCTCAACGAAGAAATCTTTCTTCGTACGCATAGGCAGGTCGTCTAAGTTCTTGTCCTCAGGGATTTCGAGTTTCTTGACGGCCGTCTTCACGGGCGACGGTACTACGAGCTCCAATTGTGCGGCCGAGTCGGTGCGACTTGGGAGAGGCTTCTTGCGTCCCACTTTGAACCTTGAGAACAATGAGCCCACAGCTTTCGTCCCCGTCGCCTTGAGCGTATCTATTGACGATGTTCGCTCGAGATTGGGAGGAGACACGTCGTCTTCAGCTTCTTGGCTTTGGTTGGAGGGCTCTAGATGCTCCTCCACTGTGTTGCTCTCAATAGAACGTTTCTCGGTCACGGTGCTGTGTACGGTAGTGTCGTCGGCAACAGTACCGTCGGTGCTCGCCACTTTAGCTTCCGTAGTCATTGTAGCGTCCTCATCCACTTTACTCTCTTCGAGCACGACAGTTTTTTCCTCAGTCACGGTACTCTCCACGGTAGTTTTTTCGGTACTACCCTCCGCTGCAGTACTCGCTTCGGCCACGGTACTCTCCTTCGTTACGACACTCTCCACGGTAGTTTCCACGGTACTCTCCGCTACGGTACTCTCAACTGCAGTTTCATTGGCCACTGTACTCGCCACTGTAGTCTCTTCGCTCTCGTCCGTGACTTCAGTCTCGTCCTGGTTGGTCGCTTCCTCCCCTTCAGGGTCCGACTTGTCTCCCTTGAGGTCATCAATCTCCACCTTCTCCAAACTTTTTCGTCGGTTTTTCTTCTTCTTTTTCTTCTTCTTCTTGTTCTTACTTGCGTCGTCTGTGGGGCTCCCCACGGTAGCATCGAGCTGCGGCTCCGGCTCGGCCTCCGCCTTCACGTCCACGGCAAGAGATGCCTCCGACTCCGCGACCTGCTGCTGCTCCATCGCTCGTGCGTGTCTGACAATGCAACTCGACTTGTGTCGTCTCCTTCCGCCACCAGCACCTGGCTCGGCTGTCCGCTCTGAAGATATGTTTGAAACTGCGTCGCTGCGCCGTGATACCTGTCTAAACCGATAGAAAATCAAGTATCGGTTTGTACATGTTTATGTCAGAGCATAGTTTGTTATTTTGAGGTCTTTTATCAGAAACTAGGCAATTAAATATGCCTATATTGGATGAATATAATCTAGCTTAGGCTACGGTAGGCACAAACCTGATCGGTATAGGGAGTTTTGAAAGGGATCGGCTTCTCATGAGGAAGACGTCGGCATCTATCCCGGACTCCGGAGAGCATGCATGTACCCTCGTACGAGGTGCACATGAAATATTCTGCATGCGGACGGTGTGGATACTACACCTTTAGAAAATGTGTGTGTGGGGAGGCAAAATTTAGGATCTGTGCTTTGAAAGAAAATCGATCTCGTTGTGGGTCGACCATTTGCATACGTTTACCCAATTCTAGTGCGGTGACATTGGGGAAGAATTTTCGATTGCGACCGTAATATTTGTCACCTTGGCACCAAAAGTCAAATTGCCAGCCAAAAATAACCGGAGATTTCACTGGCTCGACCTCGGACTCCAACATTGTCACCAGTTGGCGGGTCGTGTCCTCCACCGCGAGATGCACCAGCTCCTCGCTCCAGTGACGCGGTGTATCACCTTCAATACACTCCACAAGATCGTCTGGTAAGGTACGGTCTTCCAACTTGTCCAGTGGCACTGGCTCAATGTCGTGTACGGTAGTTGCCGCTGCTAGTTGTTGAGCCAGCAACTCATTCTCGTGCTGCAACGTTTGAAGTCTTTCGTGTTGTTGCCTCATTTCCCACTCATGAGCTTGTCTCGTGTGGGTGATAAACTCTTCTAATTGGAAGACTTTGGTGCGGAGATCCTCCGTCTCTTTCCGTTGACGATCGCGACATCGACGTGAAGCTGCACGCACTTGTTCTCTACGACGTTGCGCTTTGTGTTGCTTGATGGCCTCGGCACTCATGCCCTCGGTCGAAAACGCGCTCGAGTTGGAGCGTTTCTTGGTCTTCCGCAGTACCATCTCGTTGAGTTCGTCGTCCGAGGGCCAACTCGCGTCAGTGCGAGGCGAGGCCGAGTCCAGATCGCTGGACGGAGGGGGCGTGAGCATCCGATTCTCGCTCTCTCCACCTCCGTGGATGGCCATGAGAGGGATACTGAAGCCCAAGCCTCCAGACGAAGCTTTGCTCATGTGTGCAATGACGGTTAGTTTGCGGAATGAAACGGAGGAGTTCATGGCACTTGAAAGTGCCCATTTGCGCATCAGAGACTGACACGGCTCTGTCTGGCCAGACATCACTGATCGCATCCACCTCTTGACACGCCCATCACCGAAATGGGCTCCACATTTTACGTGATGTAGCTGCAATTAGGCACCTGAATGTGGCAAAATGGAGGGTACATGTGTTGTAATAGCGAAAGAAATTACATGTACAACAGTTACATGTACTGTACATTTGTTGTGACCTGAGCGGTATTAATGCTTCTCTTCGTGATACCGGTACCATTGTTTGCGCAATTAAGAGCTGTGTATTTCTCACTAGGATGAGAGCAAGAAGATGTCACGCACAATACCATACGAGTTTTTTTTCAAATATCTTCCATTATTAAGGTTGCTCCTTTAAAAAGTGGATCGCATAACCTCAGCACAAGAGGTTATTTATACGTATCGGTCATTCTAGCGCCCCTTTCCAGAAGTATGTACGGCAGCGCGTTTCGCACCCACACTTATTTGTGGCGCAATAATGATCCTTAAATATGGATGAGGTCTTGCACGTTGTTGCGTTTTTGTTGCAACGTGCCCCATCACCAGCCAGTATCTGTCGACGAATGGCGAGCTCAGCTTGAGAATCCCGACGTAGCGCGTCAACGACATTTGATTGGGGCTTGCTAGACCTCGTTCGCCTAGTTATATCTGTGACGTCGCTCCTGCGTGAGCGTGCTCTTTTGCGTCGTGTGGATGATTGCCACCGAGACCTTCATGTGATCGAAGCCGCTGCAACTATCCGTGGTAGCCGCACAACGTGAGAATAAAACCTCGAACTTGAGAACGTTGAATGTAAAAAAACTACGAAATGCATGCCTGCTGGCTGATACATGGCTTCACTACGTTGCTAAATCGATGTCCTGATTAGTCGGAACTGATTGAAGTACGGCCACAGTACTTAACGAGGCGATATATTGGAACATGAGCCTCACGCTTTGCTTTGTGGCCCCTCACGGTGAGGGCCACAAAGCAAATGATGGCCAACACACCGTGTTTTGTTCGAAACACGAACGCATCCACAGTTCTTTATTGTCACCGGCCTCTGCCTTACCGAGCTGTGCAGCACCGGAAGAGCTTCACAATGGAGTCTCCCGATTCACAGTGTTAGAGCTCTTGGACTGTACAACTCACTTCAAGCAACACTCTGGCCATTCAACAGTGTTGAATCAACACTTCGCGTCCAAGTTTGCATGCAAAAACGCTCCCTGGGATAGCCGGTTCTGTGGGGTGGGATCTTGGTGAGATGGGGGAACCTGTCGACGAATGGGGAGGTGCCTTTATCGGAGAAAATATGGACGGAAAACAACAATAATGATGAAAACAGGCCTCTTGTACACATCGAAGAATGTTTTTTATCTTCGAATCCGTGAACTTCAACAACAAGATCTGTCCTGATGCTTAGCTTTTATGTATTCGGAACTGTCCGTCAACTTTGAGATTGATCCGCGGGTTCTGCCAGGTGCATGCGCGTTTTACAGTTAGTCGATTGGCTGTTTGTACTTGTAGTGCAAGTTCAACCACACTGAAGTAATATCCCTATTACCGCGCCCTTAGTCCATACATCGTATCAAAGTAATCCTGTGAAAACTGGGTCTTTAAAAGAGGTGGTGTGCAGTCGACTGCCTGATTCAGCACCTCCCAATTTGCTTTTGACGCGTTCATCAGCATTGCAGAATATTCCGACTGAAATGTAGCACTGAAACCGGTGGTGACTCCGTTCGTGATATTTCCCAGATCAAAGCAGTACGTAGACTCACCAGCTACTATCGTTGGATACACATCAAGTGTGGCTTCCACAAGCGGATCAATCCAGGAAGGGAAGTACGAGATGTTTGTGTTGGTGATATCTAAAACCGACAAACTTGTTGGCGTCACATTTCCTGGTAACTTGTTGACTTTTGTGCGTCCCAGAAATATGAACTGAATATTCCCTTTGAAAAGTTCAGATGGGACACTAGTGATCGGGTTTCCAGTTAACGCGAGATAATACGGTTGTAAGCGAACGAGACCTGATGGAACTGTAGCCAGTTGGCTGTTCTCTAGCTGAATGACCGAGCTAGCCGGCCACTTGGCGTCTAGATCATCAGGGAGAGTTTCCAAATTTGTTTCAGAAAAAACAATTTGGAACAGGTACGCTGGGAAATCAAACGATTGAAAGCCTTGAGGAAGAGTTCCATTCGTCATATTCACGCGGAGAAAGATCATTTGCTTCATCTCTGGATGGGTAGCGTTCGATAATGCGGCTTCATCGTTCCAATCCAAGATGGTCGAGTTATACACTAGAAGATCTTCAAGTCCGCTAAAGTCTTGGAAGCTGGTCGGTACCTCTAGAGATGGGCAATGCAGAATACGGAGCTTCATTGTTGTGCTGCGGTCGAACCCGTCCCACTCACTCGTTACTTCTCCTTTCAAACCAGAAATTCCCATGCAGTAACAATCGAAAGTCACGGTGTAACACGAGGGTAGAGCACCAGCCATCGGGTAAACTTTGGGGTTGCATTCAAACAACGGGGTTTGCATCGAAGCGTGTACGTGCAGCACTAATACAACGACACCCCACACTCCGAATGCGTAATGAATCCCCTGAAGTATTTTTCGACCGAAACGCGTTCGGAAGCCTGTAGATTTGTACGAAGATTGTCGGATTACCAGCCGAAACTTGTCTTTGTTCCTCGGACTTTCAGGGCCTATAAGTCCTCCATCTGGTCCGTTGGAATTATTTGTTACGCTTACGTTAGGTCCAACAGCATTCGTGCCTCGATTTCTGCGTCCTGGGGGACTGTGCAATAATTCTTTCATGTCGGCAGTAGTAGCAACTAAACTTAATGAGAAAAATGCACGGGTGAGTAGATCTGACCACGACATGACCAAAACCACTCGAGCTTCGTTCAGCATTTGAGAAACCCATGCGTCGTCGTCCAGTAGTCGCCAATCGAAGTCATTGAAGTCATATTCGTGGACATAACTCGTCATTATTATGAGCGATACTCCCATTGTAGTCATCAAGTTCAGTACACAGTCGCTCACAATTGCTGCGAACCGACGACGTGCTTCATCTCGCCAGAACCACCGAGAATAAGCGAACAGAGACGACCAACAATTGATCACAAGGAGAGTCACGTAAAACCGGTTTAACAGTATTCGTGGCAGGTATTTACTCATTCGGATAGCTTGAGCTGTTTGTAGGGACAGCTCAACGATCTCTCGACAGATGAGAACAATATGAAAATGCTCCCCTTTTACGCCCAGTATGCCGTGATGACTTCCAAGTCTGTGGTACGCAGCCGAAAGAAAACGTACGACTCGAGCTGGAGGAGCTGGCTGAGCACTAGCGGATATGCCGACATCCTTGAAGGTTTCGTGCTTAGTTTTAACGTTCGTCGACTTTCTGTTCCTCTTTCTTGGCCCGAACACCAACTTACGATACCACAATGAGCCAGCAATCATGAGCACCGCACACATACCGTGTATGGTAGCTAATGCCATGTAAACGTACGCGATTATGTGAAAATGTTGCCTATCCATTCCGATTTTGTTGAATTCGAGGAAAACGGAGAAGAGCGTTAAATCGAATCCCCAGTATAGCTTCGCGTACACGACATTGTATACACACGTCACGAGATGGATACCGAGAATGGCGAGCCACCAGCACGTGAATCCACAGAGCGAGAGTTGAAGATTGCGACTTCCTCGAGAGGTGGACCATGGAGCAGTCCGGCTCATTCCGTTCGCTGTGCTGCAAATTAAGATAACATTTTCATCCTGCTGCAGTTTCAAGTTTTTTTTAGTATTTATCTTAAGCTTCAGCAAGTATAAATACCAATAGAAAACTTTAATGAAGATTGTTAGCTGATACTGTATCTCTTAGTCCGGTGAAATCATATAAAACCTTATGAAATAGTTGGCCTCGTTGAGACGAGTAGAGCAACAACGGTTCATATTTCAAAAGTGCCGGAGTTGGGCAGATCCAGAGAGTATCTCACCTGGTACAGATGGCATGCTGCTTCACAATTTGCTGTAGCCAAAGTGGTGAAGTAGTGACAAACACGTGGTGGTGATTTTAAAAGGAAATGCAGTAGTCCCCAAACCAGAATAAAATATTTTCAGTGCGATCTTAGCTAAAACCCGAGCATCAAAGTCTTAGGAAATCTCCACCTGTGCCACTTCTAAAATGTCAGTACTCTCCCTCTCTACGGGATCGATTCTGGACTCGTACGTAAGACCCAGTATTGTTGTCGGACAAGGATCCGTGAGATTCGGATTCAAAACCTTTCCGATCCATATCTGAACCCGATACTGTACAATGTACAGTGTACATGCGACTCGGATATGATGACTCCAAGGCCAAAAAATTTACGGTACAATGATAGCAACTCTCTGATGTGGCAGTATACTCGCTTCCTACAGCTTTCCTCTCAGCGTTAAAGATATCTAATTGTCTTGGATCCCACTGTAAATATCTTCAAAATCGAGAGGGTACCATGTGCTTGGCCACGGGTCACAAGCCACTGCTACTTGAAGAAGAGGCCAGTTCTCCGCTGATGCGTTCGATAAAACACTAGACTGTCCATCCCTCCAAGGCGCTGAGAACGTCGTCTGCTTGCCGCTATAAATTCGCCGAAGATCTGTGCAGTACGGGGTATTGGTAGCAAGGATCGGGTGGATAACAGAAACCACAGGATCACTGTGTTCAACTAGAGGGTCGATCCAATCCCAGAAGAACGATATCGTCGTGTTATCCACTCGCAGTACAACCAAGCTGGATATGTCGGTAACATTAGCAGGAAGCTCAGAGATGAGGGTACTGCCAACGTGGAAGTAGCCAACCCCCTCCTTAAATATCGAGGATGGCAGAGCTGTGATTGGATTTCCTGCTAGCGAGAGATCCACTGGCGCAAGTCTCGCCAACGACTCTGGAACTTCAGTGAACTCGCATCTCTCTAAATAAATACTTGCGATTTTAGGCCATTTCAAATCGAAATCCTCGTGCAACGAGCGTAGATTTGTAGCACAGAGCTCGATATCTACCAGAGATTGTGGAAAATCGTCACTAAGCAGACCAGCCGGTAGCTCACCATTAGGCAGATTTACTCGTACCAGATAGAGTGCTATAATATTAGGGTGGTAGGATAGTGTCAGTGCAGCGCTATCGTTCCAGTTTAAGATGGTGGAATTGTAGACCTTGAGCACTTCCATTCGTGAAAAGTCAGTTAGTAACTCTGGCATTTCGAGCTTAGGACAGTGGCGTATCACCACGCGATTGGTAGTTTTTCGATCAAATTGGCTCCACTGACCGATAAACTCGCTCGCTTGGCCACAAACTTTCGATTCGTAGCAATCAAACACCAACAGAGAACACGACGGCTCCGTGATAAGCCACGGCTTCACTTGCATCTTACATTGTGGCAGTTTAGGAATGGATTCGGCATACAAGTGAAGCACAAGAATCGCAAGACCCCATACGAAGAATAGTATCTGCGTGATTCGAGATTCCGAAGCCACGACAAGATCTAACTTGCTCTGGGTACGAGAATCCGTGACGTCGGATCGAGAAGGATTCAACGGCATCACGACTGTCACCTGATGTTTGAGCTTGGTTGACTGTCGCTTTGGCATCTTCATACTCAGCAATTTCTTCATATTGTTCATGTTGCTGATCATACTTAGAGCGAACACCACGCGCAGGATTAAATCTCCCCACGAGCTTACTAGCAGAATCTGAAACTCACTCAATACGTGAACGATCCAGACGTCCTCGTACCATTTGTGGGGCGGGAAACCAGTAAGCTCGGAATCGAAATCTGGATAATAAATCGCCAATAGCACTGTTGTAATCCCCATTGATGTTACCAGATCAAGTGCACAGTCCGCCAGTACAGCTACAAGCCTCCGTTTCGTGACATCCAAATGGAACATAGAATATACGAGAGCTGTACTCCAGCAGTTGATTACCAGCATCGCAGCGTATCCTCTGTTTAACTCTGCACGTGGCAGTAACACACTCATACGATAGGCTTGCTGGGTCTGAAGCGCAGTCTCCACGATTTCTCGAAGCAGCAATACTATATCAAAATACGGTCCGTCTACGTCTAATACCCCCATTTGAGCGAGAGTGGCGTGGTAGATCCGGCTAATAAATCTGCTCTTCTTGTCGTTTTGATGCTTGTTTGGACTACCGAACACGTTAAAAACAGCGATCACAAGTTTTCGTTTCTTGACAGACCAGCCGAGCATCCATACTAAGTAGGTCAAGTGAACTGCAGCGAGACATCCGTGGACAATCGCGATCAAATAGTAGTGTTTCGTACCGAGGCCAAGGTGGTAGTAGTTTAGCCAGACGTCTAGAAACGTCCCCGACAGATTCCAGTAGCACCAGGCGATCGTTGAGAAATAAGCCAGGCAAAATCCGTGTAGAATGAGGAATCCAAACCAGCAAAGATGCAGGGCGAAATGAGAAAACGAGCCATCGCAGTGCCTTATAATCTCGAGAGTGGGTCGGTGACGCTCAGCCTTGCGAACCATTTTTGAAAGTACTGGCATTTACAGCACAGGGTATTTTTAGCGATTCAGGGCTGTTCAATAATATACAATAAATTGAGACTCTAGGTTTCAAGTTCAAATATAATTTTGGACCTTTTAGCTTTTACCGCTATTGAATGGATCATGAAATTGAAGGTTCCTATAAAATATAATCAAAATGCTCATTTTGCTTAGTTTGGCACATCATCGTCTTTTCCGCCCCGCAAACCCGAATCTGAATTCGCGAGGCTATTGCGTGAAATGGTAAAACCTCGAGGAAGCAGCAGTTGCGCGCTTTGGTCGTCTTAATGTGGGTCTACAAGTATTAATATTAAACGTTTAATTTGTTAGATACACGGCAAACAAAAACAAAAACAAATCAGCTAAAGAACGAATCGCAAGTTAAGGGTACCCAATCAAAAGAGCCACAATTGGACTAGATAAAGCCGAGAACGACGTCGATGAAGTCGTTTTCTTCCATGTCGACCCCAAAATCCAATTTGTTTGGTATTCTTTAGGGGCAAATCCGGCAAGGTATATACATCAGCCCTGGTGACCAGGTTATTTTTTTTGCCCCTTCCTGGAGGCTACTACTGCCAAATTATGCGCGCCTAATACACAAGCTGCCTATTTACTATCCAGTAGAGCACAGGGTGACTATCTTGACATGCGTCCGTGTAGACTTGTATCGTACACGGGTCCTTTTAGGTCCCCATTGACTATCATCTCGATCCACCACTGATCCGGGTAGAGATCGTTCCACTGAGGATCTCACTCCAAACGTCCGTTCAGTTGGGCCAATTTTTCATGTCTGAGCCCCATATCTGTATTGTGTGAGTCGTCCGGGTAGTCCTCGCTGATATGATTTATCCTATTCAAACCCGCTGTTTCCTTCACCCCAGCCATGTCATTCGTCCTTCCTGGTGATTCGTCGCGAGACTTCGGTTCGCTGTACTGCTCGCCGTCTTCGCTCTGCATATCCAATACTTCCTGTTGCAGTCACATGTCTTCTTCGGAAGGTTGTCTGTGTACGCCAGGTCCATCTTGCCAGCAACCTTGAGCGGTCCAATGAATTGATATCTCAGTTTAGCCTTGAAGACTGTAGATACTTCACGTGTAGATAGGTTTAATATAACCAGCCTTAGCTTCTTCCATATTGCATCTGTCCGAACATCTGCTTGCTTCTTCTGTACGCCCATGCTATCTGCCGTAGAGTCGCGTACCTGACGCATCCAGCTAAGTTTTAGCGAGACGAAGTCATCGACGTGCTCGCGAGCTGTACCAGGGCTGAGAGCAAGCTGCTCGGTTATTTTTTTCCACTAAGCCCTAAACCACTGGGTGGCTGCGTCAGAGTGACGCGAAGCTCACATAGAGCGACGTAAAGCCTGGCGAGGCATTAAACGCATTATTTAATGCAAGATTGACGAGTGCAAGCATCGAGCTGCAGCGTTTCGGCGCCTCAGCGCATACGCTTCGGAGGATGTCCTTAATAACGCGGCTCCCACGATCAGTCTGACCATCAGTCTACGAATAATCGGTTGTGAACATGTCCAATGTGGACCAAGCACCTTGAACTAGGAATCCAAACCCTCGCAGTGAAACGTGTGCGCTCCGAGACAATGACTGTAATGGGCCCCTCCATTACATAAGTAGGAAGATTTCTTTACATAAGTAGGTGCATCAGCTCACGACTAGCGTGTGCTGAAATGCTGTCATGCCATTGGCTGATATATGGGGAGCCAGACCCATTATTTGCCAATTGGACTAACGTGCCTTGAGTGGCCAGGGCTGTTGCCTTGGTCCTAAAATAAAGTCAGAGTTGATTTTTTTCTTAAAACCTAAGACTCAGTCGTCCTATTGCGAGCTTCCTCAACACTATAGTGTAAGCAAGTAACAGAGTAAATACCTGGTTCGTTACAATGACTATTTATTAGAAAAAGAGATTAAATAAAACTAGCAACGCTGTACCCTCATGTCTGGTACGGCCGCTAAGTGAGCCATCTTGTTTAATCGGTTGAAAAATAAAAACGATGTCTGTGTTGCCCGTTTTGTCCCTCAGAAGCGGAAACACAACGTCTTTAGTGATGAATTGCAAACATCCTAGGCAGCCTCACCCGTTTCATGTATTCGTACTACGAATACTAGTGATATTAATGGTTTTTGCATACAACATAAAGGTAAAAAACAAATATAACACTATACCATTAAGGGTACTTCTAATATATACAGTACTGAGATCGTGTGTCGCATTACAGCAGGGTTTCCAGCTGCAGATTTTCGAGTATGGCCACATTCATGTCTAACCCCCAATTCCCGGCTCAAAAGTCGGAAATACTAGGCTTTCAAACAAATCGGTGTTTACCGATAACATTAGCCTTTACTTCGTCGATCAAAAAGTCCAATTCCCACTCAATTCTCAGCTTGTGAATTAACATCGGACCATTAACCTTTTAATTATATTCATTTCTTCTGATTCTAACAGTAGCAGCAGGCGTTAGTGGGCCCAATTTTGGATGTGGGTGATTGATTGTGTATGTAGCCAAAAAATATGGTGGAGTTTGTGCGTTTTAAGGGAAAATTACTGACGTAAGGGATTTGGGTGGGCACTGAACTTGGCGAAGTGTCCTTTGCATTTTTCTTTCCTTAGGTTTAAAATTTTAATATGCGTGCCAACATCTTGGCTTTCGTTGTTCGTACCATAATTTGAAGCGAAATACTGGTCAAGTTATTGTAAACTTCGGTCATTTTGATGTACTGACTCTCATGCGATTTGCCATTACCAAACTTTGGTCTTTGGTCCAAAGGGCAGTGGATTTACATATCTTTACCCGGCCAGTCTGGTCGAGTTACAAAACCGGTACCTGTACATCAGGAATACCACTACTGCATACCGGTACCAGTAATTTAAATACCGGGTTTAAAGAACTATTGTGCTATGCTGCTAGAATGCCGCTCCGTTTTATGGCGCACAAAGGCATACACAAAATGAAATGCAGACTTTTATCTGCGCACGAATTGCGTTTTCAAACACGTAAAAATGATCGCTTTAAAGGCGATCGATAGGATTTGCCTCGAAATTCATCTTGTGCACTCGATATAGCCTGTCGTAGCTCAATTTATTGGCCTCTTTAGCTAGATCGATTTGCCTTTTAGTGGATCTCGATAAAACAGCGAATAAAACGACCTCATCTTATTGTAAATCGACGATGAAGCTAAGTGAAAAAAACAAATTATTGAAAAGCACAATATGTATGCTAATAGCATACAACATAGCATTGCTATGTTGTAGCCAACGACGTTGAGCTGCAGGAATATAACGTTGCAGGATGCCAATCTTCTTGGTACCCCTAACTCAGCTCATCAAATTCAAATTAAGCAATAGAATATGTAAGAAACCAGCAAGTTTCTTCGAGAAACCAATCTCCACCGTCAACACGCATTTTCGCAGCGAGCACTGAATCCGCAGCAGAGCCGCTACATATTTTGCTCCTTCGATTTTTGCGGGAGCAGTGCTCCTCACCTGCTCTTGACGAGCCTCGTCCGGGGTTGCATGTAGTACTTCTGCGTGACCGAACAGGTTTTAGTCACTCTATAAGCTCCAGCCGTGTGGATGCGAAAGACTAGTATTGTATAATTGAAATGTGGCCCGATACCAGTTAATTCAGCTTACGGCTTACATTACAACCACATGTAGTACTTCTGCGTGACCAAACAGGTTTCTAACCTTAGCCGTATGGATGCAAAATACTGTATATAGTATTTCAGTACTCAATTACATCCGGCTTAGTTTAGAGTGACGCAACATGTGTTTTGTCACGTAAATTTTTCAAGTTTCGTATATCCCGCCCCCACCTACATATCATTATGAACAGGTACACTATAATCGAAAAATATAAGAGGGCTTTCCAAAAAAGTATCAAAAAACCTCTTAGCTGCTTTCAGGGCATGCATTTAGGCCATTATTTTGCCAACGATAGCTCTAAATCATGAGCGAGTATCAGCTTTTATTTAAGATCAATCAAATTCCTTCACGACAAATATTGGCACTTCTGTATCAGCCTACTGTAAGTCGCTTTTGTCTGGCAGACTTCATCGTACTGACTTGAGTTTTGTCCTTATAAAAGGGGCACTTGTTGGAATACAGCGATTTTCTTTCGCTGAAACATGTTGTGTGGACGTGGAAAGAAATACGCTAATTTTGGATACTGAGCGCATACTTTGTCATCCCTAGGATGGGGATTATAGTCCTAGCACTGTACTGAAGGATTCGCTGTCGTCCCATTGACAAATATGTGGTTCGTTATCCTAAAGAAATGTCATTCTGTTGACAAAGTAAACCGGTCCTTCATTCTACATTTCACTACTTCGCCGACAAGCGTCCGATTCTGAAAAAGACCGTCTCAACTTTCTTCCGCAAGCAGAAAAAAACAGTATGCGATTTACGTACATCCTCACGGCGGTGTTCCTAGCCACTCTCTACGCCAGTAGCACCGCACTCCCGGTCAAGAATTTCAAGACCATTATCAAAAACAAATCCCCACTCGACCCCGTCGATTCCGTAAACGTGAATGATGGGCGGCTGCTGCGCGGTCTCGTAAGCCCCGCATCGGACGGAAATGGTATTGAAGAAGAAAGATTCCTAACGTCGCTGTTTCAAGCATTGGCAAGACGCATGAAAAGGAGAACATACGTAGCGAAGGCAGGCAAACAGGAGCAATGGCTAGCTCGACTGAGAAAGAAGCATGGTGTCGAAAATCCCTGAACGCATCCGTGACGCTGGCGAAAGGTGCAATGCATGATATGGTGATGGAGACCAGCTTAATTACATGCAGGAACTACGTGTAATGTACTGTAGCTAGAATTCCTTTTAAAAAAAATGCAACTCTTTCAATACTTCCCAATAACTCAATAATATGGAGTCGACTGTCTCGTTCGTAAGGACTTGAATTGAATTGCCAGCTCAAGGTACCCGGAAGTTATGGACGCCACGAAGATACGAAATTTTGCATTAACAGCGGATACACGTAAGTACTTCGTTGTACTGCAACCAGCGACCAAAATGTGCTGTATCAAGACAGGAAGCTGCTAGTTCTGTTTCTTCTTCTTTTACGCTTAACTGTCCGACTCCCACAAGACAGATTTCCGTGTGCCTAGCGATGGCATTCTACAATTTGTCCTGTGTCAATTCACGAAAAGATTTTTTCACTACATGTAGTCCAGTAACTAATTGAAAATTAAAAACAGGTATAGTCCAGCTAAACGATTTGAAAGCTCAATTGCTTTCTGATATTCCCAAAATCTGATCGGACTACAATGCCCCAACCTGGATTACAAATTCAGAGAAGTTGCAGCTTCCAAATCAGGAAATTTTCTAATCAGTCTTTTTCAGATCCAGTCCAAATCCAGAAATCAAATGTCCCTTACTGTTGTAAATTCACGACAATTCCTAGCAATTCCACCACGTTGCTACTTACGCAAACTTTGTCTCGTCGAATTGTTACAGTAGTACTTTCGGCCATCACGGACAGATAGCACTTTCTCTAAAACTCCGATTCGGCCAAGACCAGCGCAAACCGCACAGTGCTTTTCTTAAACGCGGCATACATGCGACACACCACAAGTGGACTCGATTCGAGTTCCTGATCTGGCTGCACGTTCGTCTCACCGTCGTCATCCAACGTCATTTCATCGTAGTATTCTCGTAGAAAAGGTCTGGGGCAAATGCATCGAAGTACATACTCGCGCTGGACAGGTGCAATCATTGCTCCAGCTTCTGGCAGCGTTGCGCTAGTGAGCACAAGAGCAGCTACTTGTTGCCGCACATGTTGTCGCTCCAGCAATTCCGAGATTTCCACTTGTTGGCGATGCGAACGTACAGACACAAGCAGTAGATTCACCAGTTCAAGTGACGAGGCATCGTCATTTGTTACGGGAAAGTAGTGAAACAAAGCCAACGCCTTCGTCACCAAGGCTTCCACACATTCCAATGATCGCACGAGCTTCCAGCACGCATCCAACGCCATCTCGAACGCCACTTGGAGCTGTTGAACTTGCTGTGCTGCTGCTGTTGTCTGCTTGTTACTTGCTGCTGGGAACGCCACTTGAGACTCTTCCAGTGCGTCATCCATCAACGCAATCGCACGGTTTGCCAGCGAGCGGAGGCTCTGTAAGGCTCGGTGAACCACAGGCAACGTATCGACCGATACACGCACTGGGAGAGCTGTCTCCAACGCGAATACACTGCTAGAAATGGCACCTGCCAACATCTGATGGAACAGCTCATGCGGAGAGAGAGTCTCCATGTAATGATACACTTTTTCGGACTCCTGGACCGGGTCAAACAAGGGTTTCTGACGACTCGCAGGCATCGGGACGCTAGTGTCCCACATTTGCTGCCAGATATGCTCGTGTCCGGGTCCGAAACGCATGCGTTCGGACAGCATTCCGTGCGATTCGAACCACCAAACACCTCGACCTTGTTGCGGTAAGTCGGTTGTCTCGGGATCAATCCGAGTCTTGAACGGAATCCAGTCCTTAGGCGAGTACCAGCGGATAAAATCGGTCAGACAACAGCGCGGATTGGCAGCTTTAAACGCCTGCATGTCCGAGATCAGCGTCGTGCTCTGGATCTGTTGACGTAGCTTATCGGATTCCACGCTAACGCCCAAGCGAGTTAAGAGATCTTGTTGTTGTTTGGCCACGTCTTCCGTCATAGGTACAGCACTCTGCGTCACAGGTTCCAGTAGCGGTTCGTTCGTCTGGAGACACACAACGCCTGGCACTTCACGGACAACTCCTTCCGGGAGTCTTGTGGCTCGAGACGGGGACGGTAGAGGAGTGCTATCCTGCTCTATCGAGTCGAAGAACTCGTCGTCGCTCGGACTCCCTTCACCTTCCTCTGCAGAGTGTACATGCTCTGTATGGGCGGCTTTGACTTCTCCAGTGTTTGACGCGGGTTTCGACTCCTGTGCTTGTCTAAAATATAATAAAACATGATCAATATGTTACTAAATCAATGTAAAGTATCGAACAGATAAACGTAAATAACCTGAGGATGCAGCAGTTGAGTAGCTGAAGTTTCTGGTGTAGAAGGCAGTGACGGAAGTCGGGAGGAGGCAGTTGCATGGCGTCCATGTCCAGTAAGAACAATGCGTCCAATGAGTGCGAGCTCGTGTTACGCTCCTCTTCGCCCTCTTTCGTACGACTACTCTACATATAACAAATTTTAGTATAACTATCGCAATAATAAATAATTATAAATCGTACCATGAACGGGAGTAATTGCTGCTGGAACCATCGCTCTCTTAGCGCCTTGACAAACTCGACCCAGAGCAACGACATGGAGTTGATTCCGTCTGCATAAAAACAATTACAAATGTCTTAAATAATGTCCCGTCTTGTAGTAAAAAATATCGTACGTAGTTGAGCCATCCTGGTCGCCAAGATAGCCACCAGTTCTCCCAACGGAGCGCCATGTTCAATAGAGCTTGACATCGTCAACGCCGGCTCCGTGTTCCCCTTACGACGTTCTCCACGTTCATCGTCTTCTTCATCAAATAACTCGGCGACAATCCGTCGGATCTCGTCAATATCCGAGCCTTTCCACGTCGCAGCTGACACGAGACTTGAGATGGCATGACCCAGCACAACCGCAGCGCCTCGAGCAGCAGGAATCGACTCTGGAATACTCGACAGCTGCGTCTCGTCACTGGCTTCACTAGCACTCGATGCTGTGGAAACAGGTGGCCTCGATATAGCTGGCATAGGGGGCGCCAACTCGGACACCAACATGTCTTTGTTTAACTCTCTCGAGTTGGAATAAACTTGCACCAAGTTGGCCACTTGTTTGCTCAGTGGCAGCTGTGGCTTCCTCTGGTTTTCTGATAGTAACTCTTGGAAACGTACATTCAACATCCACCGAGGAGCAGAATTTGGGTCCAATGTTGAGTGTACCACATTGTCAACATACGTGCCTTCACGTAGCTGCGGCCAGCTGACTGTGAGGTCCATTCCTTCTAGAGGAGTCGTACTCGTGCCTAGTAACGGCGTTGGATGGTGGTCTCCGAAGAGAATAGTAGTAATCTGGCGGATCTGGAGCTGTTCCTTAGCTGAGAAGTGGGACTCTAATGTCCTCCATGCTAGAGGGTTCTCTGAGCTCACTATTTCTCGAGGATCATCCCTGCGAAGCCAAGAGTACCCGAACGACGCAGAGACCATCATTCCTAGTGCTACGTCTCCCGATTCGTCGGCTTCCACACGACACATTTCTTCAGTTTGAGGCGATAATTGTAATTTCGCCTTAAAGAAATCCAATAACCCACTAATACAGCTCTGGTTGGGGTTTAATTCCGGTACAGAGTCCGTTTCGAACGCCATGGAGACGTTTCCGGTAGCTCCAGGCACAGCAGAGCCAATCCAGGACCCTCGAGAAGGTTCGAGAACAGGAACAAACGCTGGAATCGTGCAGTTACAGTTGTTTAGAGCCATTGTGAGAGCGGATAAGAGCATCCCGGCCTCGTTCTGATCTACGTGGATATCTGCCATGACGTCTCCGTGTCTTTTTTGTTCCTTCTCTTCTTCTTTGCCTTCTTCTGTCTCCGCATTCTTCTTCTCGTGCGACGAGCTGCTTAAAAGTAGAAACTCGTCGACTCCGAACCACTTTTGGACGTTCTTGAGCACTGTGTTCGTGTTTAAAACAGATGCAGTGTCTTCGTAGTTAGAGATAGTGTGTGTCTCTTCTATATCGACTGGTTTCTCGCTCTCGACGCCCCATTGGAAGTCTCTATGAGCGTCGGCCAGTGATAACATTGTGGGGGTGAAGTGTTCCAGTCCTTGTAGCCATCTCTTGGGCTTCTTACTACTCGAAACTGTGTCTTTAGTATGCTGTTTAGTTACGAATAGCGACAGTGTGTAGCTCTTGGGCGTCTTATGTCCGGGGAGAAGGAACTGCAGCTCCTTCGTCCACACGGCGTCGGCTTTAGAGGAAGAGTTTAAGGGCTCCAGAGACGCGTGGCCCTTACTGCTTAGATGCCAGCCAATTAGAGCTTGCTCCACGTCCGAGACGAACTGCTCCGACGCCGTGGCGTTCGTGAAGTCGACGAATTGACTGCTCGGGTCTTGCTCCACCTGCATCAGTGCTTCAAGCGGAAAAGAATATATAGTGTCAGGGACGTAATGTAGCCATGCAAATGGATACTTACTCGAAACTGTAGCCATTCAATTGATTTAATTTTAAAGTACACTTTCGAGAAATTATCCATTTACAGGGTCTCTGACACACTTATTGTGGGCATATCCGATATAGTACTCAAGTTGTAAATATAGAGATGCGACAATTTACTCGATGTTAGTTTATTTTATCACTAGAAAAGGTCTGACAACATGGCACCGACGGCTCGACGCTCTCAGCAGGAGTGTGTTCGAGTCTCTTTGCGCTGGTTCATTTTCTGGTGGGTCATTATCCTCGGTGTGCACTGTGCTGCATGTGGCTACAATGCAGTGTACGCCCTGTTCTACTGGAACTTTGGTGACACGTTTCTGAGCTACTCTCTCGAATTAAGCCGGATCAGCATACCTCGTCAATATTTCCTCACCGTATCGTACGTGTACATACTGCTAGCGTTGATGCATGGCGTAGGTGCGCTACTGATGATCATCGGTTCACTTACGCGCTGGACCTTGCAATTCTCACTTTGGAACTCGAAGCAGTCCTCAGCTAGGATTATTCCTAACACGAAACAAAGACATGCGAGAAGATGTGGATGTTGTGATAAAATTGGGATACATTTATCAAGGTTATACCAAAAAATAGCTGGTCGACAAGGACTTCTTGGAGTGAATGGGAAATATTTCCACTCTGTTTTTATTTGTCGAGAACTGCTCCAGACAACGCTCCAGACCATACAAGCTATCCGAATGAGTAAACACTTGCCACGCCTGTTACTTAACCGCTTCTACGTAAGCTTAGTGGCAGTTAATTGCTGGTCATGTATCCTCGTCGAGTCTCGTTGGTTCTGGAAACACGAAGCTCGTCGTCGATTTGCAGTGATCTTGTGCGACGTAGTGTTGAATCTCGTGTCAACTTTGGGGATGCCTCTCATCATCACCTTGAGCTATCTTGATATGTATCGCGCGGAAGCTCTTGGCTTTGATTCCTCGATATTGGGAGACGAAGTGTGGGAAGCTCAGTTGCTTAACGAAGCGCAAATAGTCGTCGTAGTTTCGTGGTCGGATCTCATGAGCCGTGTCGCTTTCACGTTGGGGCTTGTTGCTAGCACTTCGGACTTGAAGGATTTGCTTCGAATCGGTCCAAGCAATGGAAATCGCGTTGTGAATGAAACGAGTACCGTAAACAATCTTTCGAGTGTCGTGCCGGTATATACAGACGCCGTAAAAGAGGTTCATAATCGCGTCTCTGATGCTAGCTTCACCACGATTAGAGTTAAGTCACTACCCCCACGTCGGCGCCTTGCGTTGAAAATGGTTTACATTGCAAATGCTGCTTGGGGGATTGTGCTCATGGGGTTACACATCCAAGCTTCGATTAAAGAGCCCCTCTACGAATGCGCTGCAAAAGTGCATCCGATGGCAAATCTACTGCCTTCGTGTAATGTAGTGAACTTTGACTGCTATGCGATGGGGATTTCTGGTAGCTTGGATGAAGTTCACAATGAGTGGAGTAAATTTGACAAAATGACATCGTGGACACTCCGTTTTCTCCACTGTCCGGCGTTGGAAATGCCTTCAAGTTTTCTTGAATTTCACGACTTACAGCAGATCGAAGTGTACAACACAACAATTGTTGATTGGGGTACAGGTAGCGCGATCACAAGCCTAAATCACCCAGAAATGGAGGTTTTATCTGTCGTTCGTGTCAATATGACAGACGGGCTTCTTCCACTTGGGTTTCAGTCACCAGATTTTCCATCACGGTTGAGTCGAATCAGCTTCTGCGAGACGAATTTGAAAGCTCTTCCTGACGACCTTGATTCGAAATGGCCACTGCGCGCCGGATTTTATATGGAGAACAACAAACTGACAGAAGTCCCACGCGTTCTTGCCCGGTTAAAGCCGCTATATCTCATGGCGGGAGGAAATTCAATCACCCGGCTTCCATCGGAGCTCTTCGAGGCAGAGCTGGGTTATTTCACTCTTGGAGGGACGAAGCTCACCGAATTACCTCAATATGTGGCTGAGCCGTCCACTGCTTTGTCCCATTTCGACGTCACCGATACTGGTATCTCGTTCTTTTGGTCTTGGATGGATCCCCTCGTTGAGGATATGTTTGGGGTCGCGCCTCTTGTGGCTGCTGGGGGTACGCCGTACTGCTATGAACTCGAGAGTATTATGAGTGGATCGTCCTCCGAGTTCAGCGCTCCTTTCCAGATTGGTCACTCCCCTCTTCTTATGAACGCGTCGACTGAGAACTGGGATACACTCGTTCAGGCTGTAGATTGCTCACCGTCGTACGGTCTGACGCTCTTCCCACTCGAATACTGGGATGCACGCTACGGTTTAAGCGGTAGCGATCTCTGAGTAAAAAGGGCGATGAAAAACTGTTTTCTTTCGGTAAACTTGCACTTCCAGAACTTTTATTTCACCGTTTCCACTAGTTCGTGGTACTTGCTGGCCAACTGAACTGGTTTATGCATCAAAGTAACAAGTAGTATACTAACGCTGAAGCTCTCTGCACAACAAGCCAAGGCTTTGATTGAATTACTGAAACTGCTCGAGTATTGAGGCTTGGATGCGGCGGTGAAGGGTTAAGATTCTACGAGTGCCGTGAATAATTTTTAGCGCTACAGCGCTCTCAGCATGCTTCGTGGATGCCCCACAAAGGTAGGTTGACAGAAAAATACGTTTTCGGCCTGTTCGGTCAGCAAGGGTATTTTTCACGAAGCCTCGACTAATGTAGAGCTTTTGTTGGTCACGTAGCTAAACAATTTATGCTCTTGGAGCAGAACCAGCATGTTTGAAATCGAAGTTTGCACGAGACAAATGCACCTCGCCAAGATCGGTGGGAGATGAGAGAAATCGGTATAATCGATAGACCGGTAGAAGGATATTATATGATCACGCTGCTAAGTGGAATTAAACTGCTAATGGAAGAGTTCGGAGACGGTTCCTCTTGCTGCCGTCATAAATTTACCAGGCTCCATAAATCCCCCAGCCAACTGTTCCACCGGATCCTCTCCCCTTTCGAAAGGAGACGAAGCTTACCCCCCCCCCCCCTCACCGGCACACGCAAAGTGACTCCGATCAAGCACCCTTTAATTACATATTTAGAGCTGCAATTTTTGCGAATATTGTATTATAATTATAATCGCCCCCCCCGTGTCGAACCTATGCTGTGCATGCTTGGAATAGCTGATTCATTGAAGCCATGCGTAATTTCTCAAATGCTGTTAATCAAAATAAAATTATTGTGAGCTCTGCTTCGCATGGCTTGTCAGCGCATCGCTCCGAGATGGAAGTAGCTCGCATGCCAAATCGCATCAATGCGAGCAGCAGCAACAAAACTCCCGTGATACTTTCAAAAGTTTGGCTCTTTTTTTGGACTTGAGGCCTTTTGTTTAGTGCCAGTTATTTATTGATTTAGTCGATAACTAATCAGCGACATTGCAAAAATTGACCGCTAAATTTATAAAAAGGACTCAATACATCTTGCAAGATGTTCTCCAGCTTTAATCTCAATTAACTTGTTAAAAAGTCACACGTACTGAGCAGATCCCTTGACGAAACTGTATATCGCGAAAAAGTAGTGAAGCAAACAACAGTTTACAGTTTCCCTCCCCTCTGTCGGACGTCTTTCTCTCCTCTAACATTTACTCTCTGACGCACGAGCATGCGATTCTGTCTGGTATTGCTCGCTATTGTGGCCCTCATCGCAGCCATATCGACTACGAGCGCAATGGTAAACTTTCAGATAGCTCATGGCGAGGAATTGACACAGTACACAGCGGCGAAGAAAGAGCGATAAGCTATCCCACAATGTCAAAGTTCATCCAGTGGCTTTCTAGACCAGCTGCAAAAGAACTCACTTTAGCTGAGAAGGTCACAGTCGGAAAGTGGATTTACAACCAGAAGAGCTCGGATTATGTTTTTCAGAAACTGGGCCTACATGGCGGACTCGATAAGGTATTCACCAACCCGAAGCCCGAAGCTCCACCTTTACGCAGCCTATATCGACCGGTTCAACAAGAAAAATCCCAGGAAGCAAGCGGCAATGATCGACATGTTCAGCAACACGTATAAAGACGACGGCGCCGCCAAAATGATAGAAATGGGAAAGAAATCCTTAAATATGGAGACGAGAAAAATTGCGTCAAGACTGCAGCAGGAGCTCGTGAAAAAGTGGGTCGACAATGCAGAATCCCCCGACGCTGTTTTTGAGCTTTTAAAGCTCGACAAGGCGGGATTTGATCTGTTCAGATCACCGCTGGTAAATACTTTCTATGCCTTTTTAAAAAAGGACATGGCGTGGGGGATAGAAGACCGCATGCTTCGAACATTGATAGGGAAGTATGGTTACGCTGGGCTCTCGAAGATTTTCATACTTGGCGAACCTAGGATAGATCTCTTGGGGCGTCTTCCGATGAAATTGGAGAACAGAATGGTGAGCAAGTGGCTTGACAATGATATATCCCCTGATAAGGTTTTCGAGCTACTTCAGCTGAATAAGGGGCTGGATAGGCTTCTGACCGATCCTAACTTGATGATGTGGCAAAGCTACAGAGTCATGTTTAACTCGAAACGAGGTGTTGACGCAACTACGACGATGCACACGATCACGAAGTTCTACAAATTCCAAGACGTGTCCGCGATGCTCGAGAAAGCGACGTGCCTGCAACGGCGAAAATCGCGACAAGATGGCAGCATGAGCTCAAAGTTCAGAAACTGAGAGGTGCTAAGATCAAGAAAGAAGGCTGGTCGTAAGGTCTGGTTTATTTGCCGACGCTGTGTAACTTCGCTCAGGAACCATGATACTCGCAGCAAAATAAAATACCGGATGGAAGAGTACTGAGATCTTTCTGTGTTTTGTTTGCTATACTTTTTGGAACCCGATACGTTTAGTTTTTTACTGTGTTGGCCTCCGTTAGACTTTTTGTGGCCATGTAGCTAAAGTTTTAGTATTCCTTTTGCATTATAAAATTGTTTAAACATCACACAAGGCGTTACAATGTAGAAATTCAAACAAGCGTACCTCAACAAGTAGGGCGACAACTTGTCTGGGAATTTCGCGTCGAACTCCTGTAGCTGCTCTGATAATCTTTTGAAAAAGTTATGCGGCAGTCGTGCTTTTGACTTGAGAGCCCGATGCATCCAAGCGGCGAGGGCTTTTCCCACCGCCGTGAAGCGAGACCAATTCTCTACAGAGCGCACCACTTTTTTATCCACATTCTGAGCACTAAAGTAGCTGATATCAATGAGTAATCCGCCTGAAATGGACTGTATCGGACTCATCATGTTCTTCTTTTTCAGTTGCCGAAAGCGTTTGACGCGGCTCTCCATCACATCGAGAGTAGGAACGGGTTCTCTTTCGAACTCATAAATGTTGTCCTCCGTGTAAGCTTCCACCTTCGTAAAGCTCGTCGCCAACGACTGGAGCTGCACTGCTAACCCCTGGCTGCTACCAAGATTCAGTATATACATCAACTCGTATGTGGTGCGCTGCAACCACGCAAACCTGAGATTCTGCGCAGGAATACGCGACAGAAAACTCGTCATGATGTCCATTCCAGCGCTGCTGCGTCACAATGTCTTGGCCATGGTAGTCTGGATGCTCGAGCAGCTCAGTGACTCCGTTGATCGCGGCTGTCGCAGCTACCTTCATTTCACCCACAGCGCTCCCCATTTCTTGTGCTCTGTTGGTAACTTCGTTCCCACTTGAGACCAACATTTTGACTTTTAATGCCACCTCACCAAACCTAGCTACAATAAGCTTGACTGGGTCGAAAGGATCCCTGGGCCGAGGTCGCTTAAACTCCGGTCCAGTCTCGTCCGAGTCGGTACGAGGTCGCTTGTTAGAGTTCGAAGCTCCGGCAGATGGTACCACCTCATTGTTCACACTAGCACTAAGCTTCTCCTTTTGCGCCAGAGAGATCAGATTCCTATAATACAACGCCAGCAAGAATTATTTAACAAACTGTAAGAATCATTTCAAATAACTGGTACTTACTCCAGTATCTTCACCGGTATCCTGTTAGGAAATTGTGCTTCAAAAGCACCCAAAGATTGGATCGTGCGTGTTAAATAGTCGACCGGCAGCAGCTCGTGACTTGGAGGAGTTTGTTTCATCCATGTCGCTATTAGGTCACACGAACATGCCAAGATTTGCCATTGCTCCTCATTGCGAGGAATAGAACCATCGACGGCGTGCTGGGTGGAATAATTGCTACAGTCCTGACGTAACTGATCCAGAAGAAAGCGAGCCGAAGTGGCCAATGCGCTCGCATCAAGTTCTCCTTTGTGTTGCAAATACTCAATAGATCTTAAATCGTTCTGCAAGTCTTGGAGGTAGTCTGGAAATTGCGTAACACAATATTGTTGTAGCTCCAGACTTATCTTTCGCACTGGAGAGAGAGCCTGGACCAATTCTGGCTTCGTGGTGATCTCGAAGACATGATTTAAGCCCGCCACCATTCGCTCAATCCATAATAAGTTGGAGTCGCTACTTGTGGCAATAGAAGCCACGCGTCTAGCTGTGTTTTCGAGGTTTTTGACAATTGTTACACTAGCAGTGCCAGTCTGAAGCACGTGGCAAACCTTGGCCGTCTGAACCCAGTTCACAAACCTCTTACAAACCTTCAATTTCGCCATTCGAGCCGCTACCTCACGGTCTCTTCCAGCTGATAGCGTCACTACCGCTCTTGTCGTCTCCACCTCCACTAGCTTCTTGGCTACTTGCTGGCTTGGAGGTGTCTTTGCATCAGCCTATGCCACAGGTTCGTGGCTTCTTGCACCGCTAATTGAGTCCAAGTCTTCGTGGCAGTTCGCACTATTAGTTCTTGAATCCACGGGTGTGTATGCAGTATTAGACGTCGTAGTTGTCTCTGTTGACTCATCTTCTTGGCGTTTGGACTCTTGCTGAACATCTCTAGCACAACGTTGTGCTGATTTTTCTTCGTTCTTTGCTTCACATCTTTGCAGCTATGTTATTTCAGCGTGTACTTCTCTATTGTCATTTTTCGATCGTATATTCCGCAGAAACTCGGTTTCCTCGTCCTGTGATTCGTTCGTTTTCTCTAATTTCTGTGAGTGGCTACACTGTTATAACAGTTCGATGCTCTAGCATCTGTGCCGTCTGCTACCTGTCTTAATTGTTCCATTTTCACTTCATATACAGCCACATTATCTTCTTGACATGGTGACACCTCTTCATCGACATCCGTCTCATATGTGGCCTCAGCTCCACAGTTGTTATGATAGTTTTCCACATTCTCCTCTTCTGCATCAACATCTTCTTCTTCAACTGTGTGTTGTTCCGTTCTCTCTCTCTTAGTATCCATTTCGACATTATATTCGAGCCTAGACGATACCTCTGGATGTTCCGCCTTCATTTCAACGTCATTGTCATCTGTATACAGTCCTCTAGCTCTCTTATCAACGTCATCTTCTCTTTCTGTAGCCACCTTTATATCCTCCATTTCTTCTGCTTCATCTTCCGTCTCAGTGTCTCCATCTTCACTGTCTCGCTCTGCTTCGTGGCCTTCTCCTTCTCTACTGCCTCCCCCAGCCAGGCTTATCCTAGCCAATGACAGTATTTCCGTGGTCGAGTCTCGCAACTCGCTCTGCACCTGCTCGATCCGGCCACATACGAGCGCAAGTGCCGCGATCTCTGCCCACCCGATGGCCTCATGCTCGCCTTTTAACAACCGCAAGTGCAGCTTGATGGCTGTCGCCGCCGTCCACAGTTGCTGTTCCACGTCCTCTAATCGGGAAAGCATTGTTGCTGAATACAGCGTGTAGTGCGCATTTAAATAGTTAAAATTAAATTAAATTAGCCTTATTTTAATAAAACGGCGCTGAAAAAAAATGCCAGCGTCACTTTTTTTTTTTTATCTTTTTTTAAATGCGCCGCTACTCGTGCTCTCCGTGGGGTTATGTGGGTTCTTTCCGTGCGCCTGTGGTTATATCTCTCCATCGTCTCTGTTGCGGGTAACTTGGGCGCAGGTAGAAGGAAGTCAGGGTAGGAAGGAGTAAAAGAAGAAGTAAGATTAATGTTTAAGAAAGTAGCGGGCTACTAACAAGAAATTAGTATGCGGCATTCAGAAACATAGTCTAGAATTGCCGCTACCATTCATCGTACTAAAATGTTCCAGACATTTTAGTACATTATTTATTAGAGTCAAAAATCCCGTGTCTCTTCATTATTAGTTTATAGAGAGCACGATGGAGAGGCGGTCCCTGTGACGGGCCCTAACCTCAACAGCCTCAAGCGTTTTCCAGGCGCTTCTTCCCAGCTACCGGTAGATCCTGACTCTGTCGCCAGCTTTTTCGTGTTAATGTCATTCTTCTCCATGTTGGCTCTTTTGCTCGAATGATTGCGATTATTGTGACTTTATTGTCTATATTCAGGCTGTTGAAGTCTTCCACGTACTTTACCCACACTTTAAAATTCCGATTAGAAAGGGTCGCTTCCTCAGCTTTGTCGAGGAGCAAAAAGTGAAAGACAACCTTTGGGAGCGTCTAGCCAGGTTTTATCTTTCTCGCGATTTCCATGGTAGTTGGAGCTTCCCACGCCGTGTCGATCATTTCACCCCGTCGGTAACTAAACCAACGGGCAAAAACCACGATTCTTGACGATCCAGATTATTCTTATTAAGAGACTCCGCCTAATTCACCCACCTCCGGAATATTTTTACCAGAAGGCCATCATCTTTCACGCGGTTAAGCCCTAATGTCATAAATAGCTCAAATTCCCACTCGCAAAACTTCTCTGAATCCTTTCCGACTACATTTTAGCTGCAGTAGCTTTAAAGCTAGAAAACTTTCTAGCTTCCTCATGAATTTGTAGCGAAGGTTTATGACTTAAGCGAGTCTCCAACATCGTACACTAGACTTCTCGCTCGGATTGTCAGTTACTATACGAGACCCACGTGCAAAGGAGTGGATCACCGACGAAGTCGCTTCTTTTTACATCCTGCAGCATATTTTGTGCACGTCGACGACGGACGCCCCATTCTTTAGCCACATCTGAAGCTGCGCAGATTCCAGCTTCGTTGTAATTGTTTTAGCCCTATCTACCAACTTCGCTGCAGCAATCATAGTGGCATCTGGAAATTTCGCATTGTAAACCGTCACATACTCGGCCAAGGTGTTCACCAATGGATCCTTCAGCTAGACATCCGTCACCATCGTTAAGTGAAGTTGCTTCATAGCATCTGTTGGAGCGCTCTCGCTCACTAGCCAGAAGTACTGTATCGAATTAACTTTCTGACGACAAATCCCTTGCCAGATATTCCCACCACTTGTCGCTAAATTTGAGGGCATTTTCCATAAAAATTCAAGTTTGGTAAAAAAAAATATTTGGGGCTGAATGCACAGACATTGTAGCAATGAAACGTTTACATAGTATACATCAATAGTGCGCTACACTTCTCCTAAAAAGATTAAGTTATTTATATTTGAGAGTTGCAAACAACTCTCAGTCTCTAATACGCTACGAAGTATTTTATTACAAGGCACTTGGCAAACAAGCATCTCAAACCCCACAATGGCTACATTTCAGCATTGATCTTGCTGTGCTGATCTTCAAACTCAATAGGATACAGTGTCTGTGTCCAAGCCCCGCAGGATACGGCCTTTTTAAGTGTCGCCCAGTTGCCTGAAGACGCATCTGACAAGATCCTTGACTGCCCTTGGCGCCACGTCGTGGAAAAATTGGTTTGCTTCCCTTCAAAAATTCGCTGCAACTCTTCGCAATACGGAGACTCTGTCGCTAATACCGTCGGAAGACTATTGTATATCAGACCTGCCTTGGCAACCATTGGATCGATCCAGTCCCAAAAGAAGGAAATATTGGTGCGATCCACTCGCAGCTTAAAAAATGGAAATACAGTTGCTGACCGCGGTAGCTCAGTGATAAGCGTACCACCCACGTGGAGGTAGCCAGCGGTATCTGTCGATACCGATTCAGGGATACTCGAGATCGGATTTAATGCAAGAGAGGTAACGTATGGTGAAAGCCGAACTAACGAGGCAGGAACTGTGGATAGGTTGCATGATTCAAAGCAGATCGTTCCAAATTTTGGCCATTTTAAATCCAGATCATCGGGTAAGATACGTAAATTGGTGACACAGAATTCAATATCCATAAGTGATTTTGGGAAATCATTTGCTAGTAGACCGATCGGTAATTCACCATTTGTCACGTTCACACGCACCAGAAACAGCATCACTAGACTGGGGTGGGGTGTTTGTGAGATAGCAGCGCGGTCCCCCAAGGTTTTACTTGCATTGCGCATTGCGGAACGCTCGGTACTGACTCTGCGTATAGATGGAGAGCCAACAGAGCAGCTCCCCATAAGCCGAAAAGTGCTTACAGCACTCGAGATTCTATCAGAATCTGTAACTTATTCTTTCGATACGCATGTTCCACATCAGTAACGTTAGGGTGTGACGTAGGTACAATTGAAGACCTCCGACGATTGACACTGGGTTTTCTCTCCTCTGGCGAAACCGGACTTGCAGTTGTCGTACACAATAGTTTCTTCATATTGTCCATATTGCATAGCATGCTCAAGCAAAAGATAAGTCGCATGGTCAGATCGCTCCAAGAAGAGACCAGCACGAGTTGAAATTCACTCAGAACGTGCACAAGCCACACGTCTTCATACCATTTGTAACTGGGGAGTTCGCCTAGTTCGAAGTCGAAATCAGCCGCGTAAATTGCTAATAAAACCGTTGAAATACCGACTGAAGTCACCATGTCGAGCACACTATCGCACACAATTATGTAGAAACGGCGCTTCGTTGATATCTGGTGAAAGGTGGAGTGTATCAGCGCAGTCGACCAGCAATTTGTAACCAGCAATGCTATATAGCATCTGTTTAATTACGTACGCGGGAGCAGTAGGCTCATTCGATAAGCTTGCTGCGTCTGAAGAGCAGTCTCCACAAGCTCTCGGCATATGAGCACCAGGTCAAAGTATGGGCTGTCCACACTGAGAACACCGACACCTGTCAATATTGCACAATAGAGAATCCGAAGACGGTTGTTTACTTGTATTGGCTCCGTCCTTGTGGGTGGAAAGACGTCATAAACAGCAAACACCAATCTACGCTTTCGGAGAGACCAGGCTAACATCCACACCAGATAGCACAAATGAATCGCCGCCAGGCCTCGGACAATACAATACGAAATTGTACTGCAGGTGTAACGGGGTACGTAGCACTAAGTGTACCCTGGTTACATGAAGTGTGACACTTCACACTTCAGGAGTATGACATGTCATACTCCGGGATATTTGGTACAAGGTACCAAGGTCATTCAAAACCAACCATTGGTTAAATGACATTGCATTTCTATAGGTAACTGATAGTTTGTATTAACCACAAACTTAACCTACCTATAAATATACTCAGTTTACAATCTACCTTATTTAGGTCACTTCGCTCTCTTTAATTAAAGAGGGGACCTGTGAACTGCCGTTCACTGAGAGTTTGTATACTCTCGGAAGATAACTTCCTCTAGCGCAAGGTGCTGTGTGACCCCGTCACACTTGGTAGCACTTGTAGTCAATCCACGCCATCGCGGGTAGACTACCTGAACCTCCGAAGTTCGTTGCCATGGATAGGAACGACTTCTCCCATATGAACGACTCTCAGTTCGAGTCGGTTCGGAAGATGGCAGGCATCTTCGGGATGGAGGCCCTGCAGAGCCTGGTGGTATCAACACCGGCTGAGCAGCTCGAGCGCGTCAATGCATTCGACGCGTACGAGCAGGGCCTCATCGCGCATGTGCGGGAGAACCTGCAGGCTCCGGCGGCGGGAGCAAACCCGCCTCACCCGAAGCCAATACGGCTGAAGGTAAAGCCGTATGAAGGGAAGGAAGGCGAGAACCTTCACTTCTGGGTCCGAGAAGTAGAGCTTGCGATGGACGCGGCTCTGATCTCGACCGAGCAACTGCGTGTTGCTTTTGCACTCTCCAACCTTAGCGGTCGTGCTAAGAGTTGGGTGTACACTCGGGAAGCGACATCCCCTGGATGTTTCACATCCTGGGCTCAGCTGTGCGAACAGCTCCGAGCCGCGTTCCTCCCGGCGAACTACGAGTACCGCCAGCGTTCGCGCTTCCTCGCGTGTAAACAAGGAAGACGCGAACTGCACGAGTATGTGCAAGAGATACGGGAGCTCACGGCGTCCCTAGTGGGAAACCCACTCAATGAACACATCAAGATGACTGTGTTCATGGACGGCCTTCGAGTGGGCCCCGCACGCACTCAGCTGTTCCGGGTGCAGGCAAACACCCTTGAAGAGGCGATTCAAGTGGCTCTTCAAGAAGAATACAGCCATCGCCAGGCGCGTACGCCGGCCTCAGCGTGGCCTGGGAGTTCCTTGTCGGCTCCCGGTCGAACAAGCCCCAACGGACCAGTTCCCATGGAACTCGGGTCCGCCGAACAGCGTGACATCCGCTGCTTCGGCTGTGGGAAGATGGGCCACTTCAAGCGCGACTGTCCCGCGGAAAGACTCCGCAGACGGTCCTTCCCCAAGCCCGTCCTCAAGGGTCGCTGGCAGAAGCCAGGATCCCGGGGACAGGGGAACGCAGGGAACCAGTAGGGGCGGGGCGCCCTACTGGGGAAGAACTAAGTCTTCGTGATGGGTGCGCGGGTGGCGTGTACCACGGGGACTTAGCCCCTGAGAGTCTTCGCACTCTCGAATCGGCGAAGAGCAGCGGCGGGTTGCTCGTAGTACACGGATGTGTACGGGGGTACGATCACCCCTTTAG